CGGCCTGGAGCTCCAGGCCGTGAGATATGCGCAGCCAACTGAAGAGTTACCTGTAAAACTGAAGAGTCGGTTGGATACAGAAATAGAGAACGAAGTACTACACTCTCATTAATCTAGCTCTCTCCACCCTCGGCAGTAACATCAACAGCGGGCCCTCGGCTCTCACTATCAGGCTCTTGGCTTGCAGTTATAGGGGCATTAGCAGGCTCAGGTACCGAGGTCAGCTCCACCTGGCTTTGACCCGGATCCACACAATCGGCCTCCTCCTCACCCTCCACCAAGTCCTCTAGACTAAACACGAACTCTGCAAAACACTTCTAAATCCTCTCCAGCAGATCCAGTCCGCCCGACAACCGTATCTCGCCAACCAGACTAGCTCCCTCGGTAAACTCCAAAAATTATCGCACATCCTCCACCTGCAGCTAACACGCATTCTCCAACACCCTCTGCAGTCGTGCGTTTTCATCACTTAGCCACGCGCCCTTGGTCCTCAGACTCTCATCTTCCTTTGCCAGCTCTACTTTCTCCACTTGGGCCGATCCGAGCCCACGCACGACCTCGACCATCTTCTTATTGCTCTCCTCCGCCATCTTTTTTGCACGGTCCACCACAACCTTGGTGTCCACATCTCGTTTTCCCGCTTCCTCCCGCACCCTCCGCAGCTCGTCCACCCCTGCCGCATCCTTCTCCCTATGGATCATGATGCGTCTAACTGAGTTGTAATGGGAGAAAAGGGCCTGCGAAAACAATGTCAACACAACTGGAGTAGACGCCGAGGGTTGCCTAACAAAAAAAAAAACAGTCTCTAAGGCACAAAACTTACCCTTGCTCTCTGCTCAAAGGCCAGGGATGCCGAGGTCGCGTAGTTGCTTTCGTTCCCGGTCATTCCTTCCCATGTCATTTCCCCCTACAACACCAGCCTACTGGTATCCAGGAAGTCCTTCATGCGGTCAGGATGGATAGACGACTGTGGGACGACACCTCTCCCCTCGTCATCCTCAATCTCTTCCCTCCAGGCCCTCTTTGGGGCTGCGGTCTCCTCCGCCTCGGCCATCGGCCTCTTCCCTCAATCCTGACCCCGTGGGCGAGGAGACGACCCGACCTCTGCTTGCCCAGCCGGAATCGATGGAGCCACCCCCTCATTCCTAGCTCGAACCGGTGGTGCCTGCCTCCTCGGCCCCTAACCTGATGCCCCAACACCCTTCGCCAGGAGCATCTCCAAAGCCCTTGGGTCGTTCCTGTCAACACCCATAGCTACACAAAACATACTTTAAAAAAAAAAAAAGAGAAAAATAGGAAAAGTTAAGGCCACAAGTAGTGGCAACAGACCGTCCATACTACCTTAAGGGATCAGATCCCATAAGCCGAATTCTCTCAATGAACTTACTGACAACAGCTCGGTCACGTCACGATCTTTCAGGGGGAGAGCACGAATCACCTCGAGTTGTCCTTCCTCGTCCTCGGAAAGCTCGCTGCCTTCCCAATCCACTGTTACAAAGCCTGATAGTGTTAGCTCAACACGAGGACAGAAACAAAACAAGGAAGAGCCCGAGGGCGTTACCAAAAAAACAAACAAACAAAATCAAAACATAAGTTCAACTAGAGGGGTCGGCCACTACAAATCATGAAACCCTTCCCTTCTCCCTAAAACACCTCGCCACCAAAGCTCTCGGCCTCTCTACCCCTGGGGCCTCCTCCCAACATCCAGTCACAAAGAACTAGTGATCCTTCCACAACTTCTGAGACATTGGGTTGTTCACCAGCAACTTTCCTTGCAACGCTTGCAGATAGAAAAAGCCCGCTTGCTTCGGGCTCTTCCTTAGCCCGAAGCAACACCTCAGGATATTTGTACTCGGCTTGATATTGTGATGCCTCTTCCACAGCACGAACATGGAGAAAATAGTCATTAGCAGGTTCGGATTCATCTGGTGAAGGGCGACGCTGAGGAAAGCCATCCATTTTTGCACAAAGGGGTGCATGGGCAAACGTAGCCCGTTCTTAAACATCTCCCAGTACAAAGTCACCTATCCCCTTGGCGGTCGGCTTGGAAGGTCATCCTCCTGTGGTAGAGCGAATATTACATTTTTTGGCACATCATACTCTCGCTGAATCCTCTCTAAGAGTTCGTGCGTCATCCGTGTCGGCACCCCATCCGCCGACCACTCCCCCTCCTCGTAGAAGTACAGGTGCACAGGCAGGCCTTGTCTATAGGAGCACGTCGGCTCCCCGAGCCACGCACTGTGCTCACTTCCAGAGGCACCCCATCCAAATCCACTCGGGGACAGTCAGGGTCCACCGCACCCTCGCCTTCCGCCACCCCGCCTCAACATTAGTAGCCTCGGCGTCAGGATCCCCCTCTAGAGCCTCCCCCAACAACACATCCACCCTATGCCCTGTCCCTACTTCCCCCTCTGACTCATCTGATGAGCTCAGTACTTCAACCACCAAGGGCTCCACCTAAGTACCGCCCTTGTACCCACCACTGGCCTATCACCCAATCGATGCCAGGCCTCGTCTAGAACCCCAAATTTATGCTACCCCTACTGGACCCTCTCTCGTCCCCCTCCCTTAACGCCATTTTTTATAACTTTCCTGCTGTCCCTCACTCACCACAGAAGAAAAACAAAGGAAAAAGCAGAGGAAAACAAACCTCTCACCTGGCCAAAGACGACTTCCCCGCAAAGCTCCTCCCTCGAACGCACCAACTTAGATTCTCCACACTCAAGACTGGAAACACATGGGAAGGCCGTAGAATTCAAAACCAGCAAAACGTGAGCTTTTTTTTTTCCACTCACGTTATATATAGGCCCGGACACAACCTTCCCCACCACCCGATCTCTCTGACGTCCTTTTCCAGATTGCGACACATGGAAAAACCCCTTCGGTTTCGTCAATCAATGCACATCCAAATGTCCCACCCATTTCGACTTCCCAGGTGCTCAATCATCACACCAACAATCAATGACACGCCTTCCGAGCACCTAACACCTATCTAGACGTTTGCACCCCTCTAGCTTATGATTTGGTTATGTTATTGAGTTAAACTTGTGCTTTTAATCCCTTTTCTGTTTATCATTCAGTTCATTGGGCCTTAGGTAGCAATGATGGCTTTGGATAAGAGCAGACTGAGTTAGAAATTTGTTTCGGCCTTAACTTCCTCCTCCCAACTTGTATTGGCCCAATTTATATGTGGTTGGAAAGAAGAGATTCTGAACTGCAAGATGGACTGCTAAAACGTATCAATTGATGAAGTCGAGCCCAATCCGTGGGCTCATCAAAATGCACACAATACATTCCAGTCTATTTTTTGGCAGTCCACTTGCATGGCCCAAAATGTATACTTGTACTGCTCCGATGGGAATGAATTCTTCATACAAGGTGTTCCAATGGGTGTCTATTATGACATATCCAAATTGGAGCCCCATTGGATTCATATTGAAACCTCAGGCCTTCCTACACCAAGCCTGGTTCAGAAGAATCTTTTATTTCCAGCAATCAAAAGAAAACCCACATGGGTTGGCAACAAAAGGCAGCCACAATTGAACACCTTTGAACACCCATGTGAAGAAAGCTTGAGGTGCAGCAAAAGAAGTATGAGATGGGATTGATTCCAACCACACTAACATAGACAAGATAAAGTGGGAGTCATGGATTGTATTAAAGGAGGAATGGTGGTGTTGGATTTCATCATGATGTTCCTCCCTCTTAGCCCTATAAATAGAGAAGTCTTCAAGCTACAAAATTCACTTCAGCCATCCTCCACACTTCCATCATTCCATCAACACATCCAGAAATCATCCTCATACACTCCCATTAACCCCATACACTCTAGCAATCAACCCAATACTCTAAACTGCCCCAAATCACCAAAACAGCTCCAAAAAACCTCCCTTTCATTTCCCTACGAATTTCCTCTTTTTTAGCCATCACCACTCACCCAAACTCATCCGAAATCACCTACTAGCTGTCATACATCATTCTAGACGTGGGGAAGCTCTTGGAGATGCATTAGACGTGGAGAAGCACTTGAAGAAGTCTTGGACACCACAAGAACTTCAGAAAAGGGGTTTTTCTACTCTTATTGCATTCCTTATGTTTTCTCATTTCTATCTAAGTTTCTTTTCCATTATGAGCAGCTAATTTCATAACTAGGGCTTCGATGTAACCTAACATAAATATTCTGGGTTTGTTTCAAGTTTGATTCATGATTCATGTTCTTATTCATTATGCTTATAAGTTAACATGCTTGTTTGAATGATTGATCACCATTAGAACTTGTTTGTTAACTATCTTGGTTTGAATTAAGAGTAGACACCATGCTTTAATTCGAATTGAACTATGAATAGGAAGAGTATGTATGGACATTCGACAACAGGGATTAGATACATACTTGGTTGTTTAAAATGTTCTTCTATGCTTAATGTGTTCCTAATGCTTAATTTTAGGTTAGACAACAGATGATCAAATTAGGGAATTAGGAACACAAGGTTAGGACCAAACACCATGGCCTAATCATACTTTAGCTAGAATCAATCTTTGAATATGAATTAGACTTGTTACTTGACTCCTTATAACCCAGAATTGAATTGTTATGGTGATTCGAATGCCCTGGTCTCCAAATCTATTTTCCAACTCTTAAAACCACTCTTTGTTACATTTGTTTACTTGTTTTTGTTTGCAATTTCATTTTGCTTCTTTGTTCAACAATCACAACCACTCTTACTTTAAATTCTGTTTTAGACATAACCTCCTACTTTCTTGAATTTGGTAATCTAAGTACATAACTAGTTTTAACTTCTCAGTCTTCGTGGGTACGACCTCGTACTTGTCTTGCTTTACTAATAATTGCCCCGTACAATTGCAAGTTAACATAATATTAACAACAAATTTTGGCGCCGTTGCCGGGGATTGAGCGAAAGTTCTTCCCTGGTTATGTGCCCAAGGTTACCCTATTCTTTTTAGTGTTTCTAATTAATCTAATTTTCTGTTTCAGGTAGTTTATGTCTAAAAGGCCATTCCTTGAACAAGTGAGGTCTTCGTTTCTACGTTCCAGATCTTTGAACGCAAGACCATCGTTGCAACCCAATCGAGTGATCTCTGAAATTCAAAATCGTCTAGAAAGAGAGTTGTCATCTAAAAAAGAGCAAGCTCTGGCCACATTTACAAGTCTTGCTCTCCAAACTGAACTTCCTGGTTCTTCACTTTCAAATTCAGAAGCAAGTTCAGACCAAGAAGAAGAAATGATGGCTGCCAATGAGTTCATGGGAGACCTTGATATCCCAACAATTCCAACATCCCCTTCAAGCATACTACCCAATGTAGCTCGAAACTATGAACTTAAATCTTCTCATCTTAATATGTTACCTTCCTTTTATGGTTTACCTAATGAAGATCCATTGACTCATATAAAGGATATTTTTAATGTTGTGAGTTCTTTTCCCTTGACAGGTGTGACGGAAGATCAACTTCGAATGAGAGTGTTTCCTTACACTTTGAAGGATAAGGCGAAATATTGGTTGAATTCTTTGAAACCTGGTTCACTCACTACATGGGCTGCCATTCAAAAGAAGTTTTTAGAGAAATACTTCTCCACCCAAAAGACTGACATGCTCAGGGACAAGATCTTGTTATTTGCACAGCAAGATTCTAATGAAGATCCATTGACTCATATAAAGGATATTTTTAATGTTGTGAGTTCTTTTCCCTTGACAGGTGTGACGGAAGATCAACTTCGAATGAGAGTGTTTTCATACACTATGAAGGATAAGGCGAAATATTGGTTGAATTCTTTGAAGCCTGGTTCACTCACTACATGGGCTGCCATTCAAAAGAAGTTCTTAGAGAAATATTTTTCCACTCAAAAAACCGACATGCTTAGGGACAAGATCTTGTTATTTGACAGCAAGATGATGAGTCGTTTTGTGAAGCGTGGGAGAGATTCAATGGGCTGCTTAATCAATGTCCTCATCATGGGATTCCTTTGAAACTTCAAATGCGTATGTTTTATAAAGGACTAACCCCTTCGAGTCATAATATTGTCACAAATTTTGCAGTTATAATATTGTCACCAATTTTGCAGGTGGTTCTTATAAAACCAAGACTCCGGAAGAAACGTATGAACTCTTTGAGGTAAACGTGTTGTTAGTGGTTCTAATGATGCTTATAGTGTGCAGATTTCAAAATTCGAACAAAAGCTAGATGCTCTTCTTGCATTGAACTCAAGAAACCCTCCGAAGGAAGTGTGCAGTATTTGTGAAACTCATGACCATGCTACCATAGCTTGTCCACTTGGGGCTGCATATCCAAAATTTGTGCAAGAGCAAGCTAATGTGGTAAATTCCTACAACCAAGGTCCAAGAAATGATCCATACTCTCAAAGTTATAATCCAGGTTGGAGGAATCATCCAAACGTTTCATGGAGGAATACTCAGAATCAAGCCATTCCCCCTTCATTCCAAAGGCCACAACAATCATCATCATCATTGGAGGATATAGTAAAGCAAATGGCAATCAATCAATCCAATTTTCAGCAAACTACACAAGCTGCCATCTCCAAATTGGAAGTCCAATTAGGCCAAATAGCTGCTGAAATAACGCAAAGAGAACCTGGAAAATGGCCAAGCCAAACCATCATCAATCCAAAGAACCACGAAGCCAAGGCCATTCATGTGCTCAGATCAGGTAAGATTGTTGATAATATAGTTGATTGTAGTCTTTCAAATGATGCTGTGGTTGTAGAAAATGAAGATGAAGAGGAGGAGACCATAGCTATGGAAGGAGAACAGCTCAAAACTTCTCAATCTGCCCCTAATGCCAAATCAAATTCTCAGGAACCCAACAAATTCCAATTGCATAAAAGAGGTGATAAATTTGTGCCACCACATCTTCAAGAAGATAGATACGTGCCACCCGCTCCATATGTTCCACCTATTCCATTTCCAGGCCGTCTTCAGAAAGCAAAGCAAGATAAGGCTTTTAAAGAGATTTATGATATTTTGAGTAAAGTTAATATCAATTTGCCTTTGCTTGATGTTATTGAACAGATTCCTACATACGGAAAGTTGATCACGAACTTGAAAACTCACAAGCTCAATTTTGCTCCAAATGAAGAAATAAAGCTCAACAAGAATGTAAGTGTTGTGTTGCAAAGGAAGCTTCCACCAAAACTAGAAGATCCTGGCAGCTTTGACATTCCCATTAACATTGGAGACAAGAAGGTTGGAAGAGCCATGTTGGACTTGGGAGCAAGCATCAATCTAATGCCATATTCAGTGTATCAAAAACTTGGCTTAGAAGGGATGAAGAAAACTTCAATGCGACTTGAACTAGCTGATCATTCTATAAAATATCCAAAAGGTATTGTGGAAGATATTTTAGTTCAAGTTAATACACTAATTCTCCCTGCTGATTTTGTAGTGATGGACATGGAGGACAATCCAAATGGAGATCATGTTGATCCCATTCTCTTAGGCAGGCCATTCATGGCCATTGCAGACACAATCATCAAAGTGAAAGATGGCACTCTTTCCATGACTGTTTTGGTTGAAACTGTTGAATTTAAAGTGTTTGATGCTCTATCTCAACCTTCTATCTCTCTTGATACTTGCTTTTCAATTGATGTTGTAGATCAAGAGGTTTCCTCAAAAATTTTGCAGGAAAAGTCTAATGATGCTCTAGAAGCTGTCCTAACACAAGAAGAGGAAGATCTTAGTGAGCCGGAGTTCCAAGAAGTGTTGGCTGCCTTAGAAGTGTTTCAACCATACCCACCATCCTTTAGGCCACCACTCGAGCCTCTTGGACCATCATCCACGAAATTGGAGCCATCCATTATCATCCCACCAAGGCTAGAACTTAAACCTCTGCCCAATCATCTTAAATATACATATTTGGGTGCTAACGAAACTCTCCCTGTTATAATTGCTGCAGGTCTCACCTCACATGAAGAAGAGAGCTTAATTAAGGTTCTAAAAGAGCATAAAACAGCCCTTGGATGGACCATAGCAGACATCAAAGGAATTAGTCCAAGCATGTGCATGCACCTGATTTTAATGGAAGAAGACAGCAAACCATCTCGTGATGCCCAAAGGAGGTTAAACCCCAACATGAAAGAGGTGGTTAGAGCTGAAGTTTTAAAGCTACTCGATGTAGGAATCATCTACCCAATTTCAGATTCTAAGTGGGTGAGCCCTGTACAAGTTGTTCCGAAGAAGTCCGGAATCACCGTTGTGAAGAATGAGAAGAATGAGCTAGTTCCTACACGAACCATCACCGGTTGGAGAGTTTGTATTGATTACAGGAAGTTGAATACATTCACAAGAAAAGATCATTTTCCCTTGCCTTTTATTGATCAAATGCTTGAACGTTTATCTGACCATGCTTACTATTGTTTTCTTGATGGTTTTTCAGGTTATAATCAAATTCCCATTGCTCCGGAAGACCAAGAGAAAACCACATTCACATGCCCATTTGGTACGTTTGCTTATAGAAGGATGCCATTCGGTTTGTGCAATGCCCCAGCAACTTTCCAAA